TCGAATCGTACGGTGTCGAATAATTTCGTGTCGAATAAATCTGTGTCGAATCGAGCGGTGTCGAATCGTACTGTGGTCAATAGAGTATCACCCCCTTACTCCCATCCAGAACTCTTTCCCCAATGTCCCTTCTACCCTTACTCTATTCCTCGTTTCCCTATAAATATCCTCACATCTTCTCACTAATCTCTCCCTCACTCCCCTTTCCCTCATTGCATCTACTGGTCTCTTCCTATCCACCGAATCGAACGCCGTCTTCAAATCCACAAAAAACACTATCACTCTCCCCCCTTTCTTAGTTAAATTTCTTCCCATTATATAATTTATCACATATATATTGTCTAACACCCCCCTTCTCTTTCTAAATTCCGCCTGATTTTCTAGCACTTCCTATTCTCCACATCCTTTCTTACCTTCCCTGCCAGCACCTTTGCGTATATTTTATATAGAGTAGACGTCAACGTCACTCCTCTGTAATCCTCCACTCTATTTCCCTTTCTTTTCTTCAGAACCGGAACTATAATCCTTTCATTCCATTCCTCTATCCACTCCTCCCCTCTCCAAATCCTCTCACACACCTTCCATATCCATTCCTGCATTCATTCCTCTCCATATCTTCACACTCCCTCCGCGGGGATTCCGTCCCCTCCAGCTGCTTTGCCGTCCTTCAACTTTCCCACTGCCTTCCCGATCTCTTCTCTCCTTAAGTCCTCCTCGTCATCCCTTCCTTTCCTTCTCTCACCTTGCACTACTTTTTAATCTATTCCTCCTAGCTGTCTCTTAAAGTACCCGTACCATTCTTCCATCTCAATCTTACCACTTCCTCCCCATCGCTTTCTTCTCTCTTTATTTATCACTTTTCATACTTACTTACTTGTCTTCGCATTCCTTGCTTTCTCTATCCATCTTTCATTCTCCTCCTCTCTCTTCCTATCACACAATTCCTTATAGGTTCTCTTTTCTTTCCTGTAACTTTCTTTATATCCCTTCTCTCTTCTCCATTTTCTCAATTCCTCCCTTACTTTTCTCTTCTTCTCTCTGCACTCTTCATGCCACCACCCTCTCTTAACCCTTCTTTTTACCTTCTCTCCCTTTTCCCCTAAACATTTCTTTATTCTATTCTTCATTCCTTTCCACTACTCTTCCACCTCCACTCGATGCTCTCTCCTCTCACTTTGCGTTTCCTCTATCAGCTTTTGCCCTTTTTATTCTGACCAAATTATTGCACCTTTCTCTACTACCTTGTTCTTGCCTCCTTTCTTCTCACCTCCTCCTTTTAACCATACTACCACCGAATGATGGTCGGAATCAACCTTATCCTCTACTATCAATGCTTCCACTCCGTCCCATGCCTTCTCCTCCCCTATTACATAATCTATGACAGATTCTCCTCTACCTCCTGAATACATCAATTCTCCTTCTTCATCTCCTCTCATATTCCCATTCATTATCGCCTACCCTATCCTATCTCCTCCAGTCTTTCAACCAATAGCCTTCCTTCCGCGTTAATCTTTTTATCTTTTGATCTTCTCCCCTCCCTTTCCTTTTTCATATCATCCCCTCTTACCTTTTCTCCTTTTTCCCCCGTTCTCGCATTAAAATTCTCTCCTATTACCGTTATTACCTCTTCCTCTTCCCCCTCCATCCAGTCTCTCAACTCTTCCATCTTTCTCTCGACCTTCTCACTTACATATACCCCTACTATTTTCCACCACTCTCTTCCTACTTTTATTCTCCTTACCATTATTCCTTTCTTTTCCACCCACCCCTTCTCCAATCTCCACTCCAAGCTCCTTCTTATACTCATTATCATTCCCTCCATTGCTCTACCTCTTCTATTTTTCCTTTCCGCCCACTATTTCTCCCATATATATCCTCTAAGCAGTCTATTCCATATCTTTCCCCATCCTTTCTTGTCTACCCACGTTTCTGTTAGCACCATAACATCCCAGCTCTCTAATCCATCCCAAAATTCCTTATCCTTATTCTTTAAACCTGCGACATTCCAGAAAGCCACCTTACAGTTTTCCTTCTTTCCCTTCTTTCCTACTACTTTTTTCCCTACCCCCTCTA